CCAACACTATTCTTATTGTCCAATTAAACAATAAAATCAATTTATAAGCTGCATGAATGGTGTTTATAGTCTTACAACTTACATAGAATTGACTTTCTCTTCAGGACCTTGGACTTGGCCTGTCACAGTGCCTTTGCTGGTGTTCATCACCCAGCCAACCACGCCTATCTTCTTCGCCTCACCTTCTGTGTACTGGTTTCAAAGAAAACAAGAGGCCAAGTCCAGCATCAAAGTCTGAATTCATAATTGACTCTAACATTCAAAATATGCTACAATAATAACTGTATTTACAAGAAATTTCACATAAATGATGTTATTTGTTAAGTTCTACTTTTAGTAAAGATAAGAAATAAACTGAGAAAATAAACTGTGAATAGTAACTACTTCAAAAAATAGTTTTCATGTGTTTTTCATGAGCCCCATAAAATTCAGTTACACAGCTCGCATGCCTGCTAACATTAAACTACATTGTTAATTTGGGTTTCAACTGAGGGTCACAGCAAGATACTCAATATTGAAGAAAAACATCCAGTTTTGATCAACATAAAATATTCTATTAAAAGATTTAGATATTTTTTCTGTTGATTCTGGAATTGCCACACATATGCTATACTTGTTTATTGGTGATTTATTTATATTACTATTAAGAGAATTTTAAGTATTTCTTTTCCTGATTCCAAATTCAGTTTTACTGCTGGCAAATTAAAAATTAGTAACATTTTTTAAAAAAGATTCATTTATGGCCCTCCCTGGTGGCACAGCGGGTTAAAGCACCACACTGAGAATCTAAAAGCCACTTCCTCATGAGTTCGATTCCCGCCTGCCCCGGAGGTGACCACATGGCGTGGCAGACCTCTCCTGACCCGTCCGCTGCTCCCCTCAGCAGTGTACTTCGTCGATCTGCCTGTTGTGCTCCCCACTCTGTCTCTGGTGAATCCTCTCACCCTCCACATCTCTGGCCTGTACCCCAGTTCTATATGAATAAATAAATGAAATCTTTAAAAAAATTGAAAAACAAATATTTATTTATTTATATTTACAGAACTGGGGTACAGGCCAGAGGTGTGGTGGGTGAGAGGATTCACCAGAGACAGAGTGGGGAACAGAACAGGCAGATCTACTGAACTACACTACTGAAGGGAGCAGCAGGCAGGTCAGAAGAGGTTTGCTATGCCATGTGGGTCAGCTCCCTGGCAGGGATCGAACTGGTGCTGTAGTGGCTTTTGAGAGCTTCATAAGGTGGTGCTTTAATCCTTTGCGCCACCAGGGAGAACCACACATTTTTTTTATTCTGAATTATTTTAACTATATCCTTTAAAATTCTAAATGGGTTCAGTGTACTAGAACTTTTTAAAAGTTCTTCTGTCTGAGGCCAGAGTGTTCAAGATATTCACAATCCATGTCCCCAACTAGATAAAACAGTACAAACCAAGACAGTTACAGGCAGGACTGAGGTAAGAACTGATTCTGCAAAGTCAAGTTCTCACAGATAATAAAGAAAAAGGACACAATCTGTAGGGGGTAAGACTATTTCATAATGCAGAAACTAAACTAGTGACTGCCAATTAAGCTGAAGGTGAAATACATGCTTTTCCTTAGGAAAGGAATATATTTTGAAATGAAAATATAAAAGACAACAAGGAATTTCAGCTTCTAAAACACCAGGAACCAATTCCATATACAATATGAGCATTTTTCACCTTGCATTTGATATATATTCCATTGTCTACAGGATTTCCTCCATCCAGAAACAAGTAAAAGATTTCAGTAGCATTCCTGGTATGTACCTATTATGTTTAATTGGATCATCAAAAAGAGACACTTTTAAAATTCATTTATAGAAAACATTAAAAACTAGGAAGGCTGCAATGCTTGTCAAATTTTGTCAAAACAGTTAATAAAAGAGTCAGAGATTTGGAAGAAATACAAATATTTCTCCATTTGCTTGTCAGTTGCATGTAGGTGAGCCTGATTAAGAGAATACAGAATTGACTTTTATGTAGTTTTCTAAGTGGATTTATAGTAATAAAGAATATCACTTATTTCCTGGTGATAATATATTGTGCTAACTGAATCTGAAAAAAAAAAAAAAAGAGCCAAAAAGCAGTAGATGAACACTATGTAAAAAAATCTGCTGTGTATGTGATCAGAAATAACAGTGAGAAAAAACTGGCAAAAGTAATCAACAGATTGTATTGACTTACCATTCTGAAGCAAACACCTGTATAAAAAGAAAAACAAGGAGAAATGTCAGCTTTTCTACCTTTATATATACACACACACACATTTCCTGGCTTAACTTTCATCTAACTAGAGTAAGTGAAATGAACAAAAGTTTTAAACATCTGAATGCTATAACTAGAAGCCATTTTTAACAATTATTTTCTTTTAAAATAACAAGAGAAAGGAAGAATTTGGTGAAATAAGTAATCCTCTGAAACCGGAGTATAAATGCCACACACACATTCTTCCCACTTTAAAATGCTAAATAAAGCATTTCTTACAGGGCAGTTGAATATACTTGGAACAAAATTTACCTAGTATCATTTTTGAGAATTTCTTAAGTACAAGGACTAAATTCAATTTAAATACAATAAAACATTCCTATTTAAATTTTAATTACACATTCTGGAAAAAGTAAAATTACAGGAACAGGAAACTAATCAGCAGTTATCAAGAGCTGAGAATGGGGAGAGAAGAGCAGAGCAAAGGAGCATTTTTGGGTTGATGGCACTGTTCTGGAATATAGTGGTGGTTACATGACAGAATGAATTGTTAAAGTCATCACACTATATACTGAAAGGGGAATATTCTCAGTGTAAATTACCTCGAGTAAAAAAATTGAAAAAAATATGTTGGGAAATCATGGTGGATAAAGCAAACCAATCTCCAGAGAGGTCAAAAGATAATTACTTGTACATACTGCAGTTGAGCCTGATTAAGAGGATATAGAAGTGACTTTTATGTAGTTTTGTAAGTGGATTTACAGTAATAAAGGGAACCATTTGTTCCCTGATGGTAGTGTATTGTGGTACCAACTGAATCTGAAGAAAAAGAGCATCAAAGCAATAAAGACAGGATATGATCACAAGTGGAATTTTTATAGGGTATAGAGTATTTTAAGAGATACATATAAAATGGGGAAGAATGATGAGTGGGAGTTTTGTCCAAAGGGAATCACAAAGACAATCAGTTACACAGCAAGTATTTAGTCATTTTATGTTAGTCATTTAATGTTGGAAGACCCAGAAGATGCTGACCAAATAGTGTTAAATATTGTAGTAAAGGTGTATTGTGCATATTCCCCTGTCTGATATCAGCATTTTTTAAAAGAAAGCACATGAACCTGAAGTAAACAAATTGGAAACATGATTCAATTCTTTCCTATTCAAAGAGTAGTTCATGAAGCACCGACCAGCAGCACCTCAAGGATTTTTTAAAAGTTTAATTCTCAGACCCTCCCCAGATCTACAGAAACAGAAATTGCAGGTAGGATCCAGAAATCTGCTTTTAACATGCACCCCAGGTGATTCTTATGTCTACTGAAATGTAGAACCAATGGTTGGCTCTACTGTAGAGAAAGATTATATGGTAGTTTTGAAAACAATTTATATTTCAGATCACGAATTACTTTACAATGGGAAAACACAAATCTTGTAGAGTATTGCAAAGCTGAGGCATGGATGTAAGTAATAAATTACATACCTGAATATCAAGGCTGCCTTACTCATTTAACCAGTCAATGATACTACATGAAAGAAACTATGTACAATGAAAAGGCTAAAACTCTCTCTCCTGTTCTCTAATGGGAATTGGTGATGGAGCAGCCCAGCAGCCTATTACTTAGCACCCTTGAAAAAAAATGCAGTGCAAATTCAAGAATCTTGAATATTGCAACCAGAACTAAATTGTTCCTTCCATATTTTATAACATTTCTTTTTATATATGTAAAGATTTATTGTTATTTATTTATGCATACAAGAACTGAGGTGTAGGCCAGAGATATAGGGGGTAAGAGGATTCACCAGCGACAGAGTGGGGAGCAGGTGAATCTACTGAAATTCACTGCTGAGGGGAGCAGTGGGCAAGAGAGGAGAGGTCTGCTGCACCATGTGGGTGAGTTCCCTGGCCAGGGTATCTAACTCATGCCACCTTGGCTGGCCATAGCTTGACAGCACAGATACTTAACCCCTGCACCACCAGGGAGTCTCTTTATAACATTTCTTAATCACAAGCTTCTTCACCATCATCATATTATGGCTGTTCCTTCCACAAAGTGGAATACACATTAATGTGATACTCCTGGCTACTCTACCTTTTCGCTAAGTCCTCAGGGACATGCAGTGACTTATCTAACATGTAGGCTTGGGAGGAGAAACATAGCCCAATTATTTCCTATTCCTTTTTTTCTGGAAGCAAGTAACCCACAGGCATCATCATACCTTCTGCTGGGCCCATGTGGGGTTGCCCTGCAGGGGTTGAGGTGAGTGTGTTTAATTCTGCACAAAAGGTTATTATAAAGTCCACTTACCTGAAGATTTATACTAATCCCCCAAACTCTGTTTTATGCTTTTTGTCTTATTGGTTCATAACTCACACAATGAAAGAAAGTGTTATTTACTGTGCTCCTCAGTCACAAGCTTAATTTTAAAACCTTAGCAGAGACATACATAAAGGGATGTCAGGATCTCCAGTCCCTTTACTTTGTTAAATAGTAAACTATACAGTAATTAACTATTCAAAGCCTCATAACACATTTGCAATTTTCTCAGAATCTTTCTGAGTGCCAATCTCTAGTGAGAAACACTGTGCAAATAGGTAGGTACATATAGAAAGAAAAAGTAAATTTGGGGGCAGATCTGCAATATGTCAGCACAGGCCAGAACAGAACATTCATGGGATTGAAAGTATGTTGGAAAACAAGCTTCTGTGGACATTCATGAACTGCTTCCACCTTGCTCACTAAAGAAAAGGGAGCTGATAAGACACATGCAGGCTTTTTAAAGAACTGTGGCAGATATGTGTCCCTTCAGTTATAAAAGACACAAGTACAATATGCCACTCAGTCAAGACTCAATCAGCTGCGACTATACCTCATTTTGTAAAAAGATGTGTCAGTGCAAACTTGAAGGTGAATATTTGCAAGGCAAATCATAGTTTAAATCTACACAGAAATGGTGGTATTTTAAAAAGACATATGATGAATTTTAAATATCAGCATCCTAGTGTAAAATCAGATTTTCATATCGTAATGTACCTTCTTCCTGGGATCTAATGCCACACATCAATTTTGAATGCAGGAAATCACCTGCCACCCCCTTGCAAAACAGACTTTAACGATTTTTAAAAGATCTTAAATAGTTAGAAAGAACTTCCTTATATGGAAAAAATCAGCCTCACTTTAACATTTCACCATCTGCCCAGGGCCTGTCCCCTGGAAGCACACACCATGGCATCTTTCAAATCACTGAAACAGCCATCATATTACAGTTTCTTCTCCAAGACAACTGTTGCCAAACACTTCACCTTAATTCAAGGCACTTCTGAAGTCTCTGTGACAGGTAACAAAACTAGCCACCAGTCTGACCTTCAAAACACTATCTTGATTGTGAAAGACACAAATGTGTGTACTAACAACTGTAGTTGAAAATAGAATGGGCCAAAGAGACGTAAACACATTAAGTAGAACAGAACTATAATGAAATGCTATAGGAGCAAAGATGAGAAAGGGAAGCCACCAAGTTGTTTAATAATTATCCCAATTTTCAGTTTAAGTAATCTTAAAGAAAAGGAGTAGCTCAGTAAGCTACTCCTATTCTAAAACTGAGTTAATATTGTTAAAAATAAACTCAATTTTCTGAAGCAACAGATTTTCAGAATCCATTTCTATGGCTGTGGTTATATTCATCTGAGAGCTGGTAATGCATCAAAGCATCTATACACAGTGTAATGGCCTCTCCTTTCAAAATTTCAGTTTATACTATTCTAGATATAATTGTAATAATTCATGCCATAGTTGCACACACTCAGAATATACAGGTCAGTCCTCTACTCCCCATCTCCCATTCCAATAATCCCAAGGCAATAAATTAATGCTAAAAAACATAGAACGTTTTTAGAATGTAGAAGATTGAAAAGACAGGGAGAGAAAGGGAAATGGGGGGGTGGGGGGAAGTAAACTAACACTGGAGAAGCCTGACAAATACTGTCTCAGTCAGTAGTTCTAGGTTAATACAACAGTGATAAGCCATGTCCCCATGTCCACAGTGTGTGATGAGGGTTATTTGCCTCTGTGACTCTCCTCACAGTAACACAGGATCCTAATCATATCATGACAAAAACATCAGATAAATCCCAACTGGGGAGCATACTACAAAGCACCTAACCTCAAAGTATTTTTTCAGTACTTCAAGATCACAGAAAACAAGCAAAGTCTAACACAGTCTGACACAGACTAAAAAAATCTAAGGAACTGATACAATTAAATATGATGGGCTACTGTAGGTGGAGCATGGGACAGAACTTATTCTTTACAACAGGTAAAAACTAGGAAATTTGAATAAACTATAAACTTTACTTAAAAATAATGTATCAGGGCTCCCCCTGGTGGCGCAAAGGGTTAAAGCACCGCGTTATGAAGCTCTCAGAAGCCATTGCAGTAGAGTGCGACTCCCCACCAGGGAGCTGACCCACGTGGCATGGCAGACCTCTCCTGATCCGCCTGCTGCTCCCTCAGTATGTTTTAGTAGATCTGCCTGTTCTGCTCCCCACTCTGTCTCTGGTGAATCCTGTCATCCACTACACCTCTAAGTCTGTACCCCAGTCATGTTAAGCATAAATAAATCTTTAAAAATAAATAAAGAAAAATAATGTAACAATCAATGTTCACCATCAATCGGGACAAATGTGCCAAATTAAGTAAGATGTTAACAACAGGAGAAACTGAGTGTGGGGTAAATAGGAACTATCATATCTAAAACAAAAATTATGTATTTTTAAGAAGTAGAGGAGTAAAGAAGTAGTAGAAAACAGCAAAAGACTATAGAGATACGGGTATAAATGGACATGAGGCATGAAACCACTCTTTGCACTTATCTCCATAAATACATTTCCCTGAATTTCAACAACCAATTTATAAATTATTGGGTTGCTAGAAAAATCAAGATAAGTTATCTTTCCAAAGACAATTTGTTTTTTAAAAAACAAAGATCAATCAATGACATAGTATGCATTTTACACAATAACCTTTTTCCATCTTTCAGTATGCTTCATTTGTCCTTTATAGAAAGGCCTGGCTTTATTGGTGAAAAGCTAAACAAGGTGCTTATATACATACTCAAATGAATTGAACATTATACCACACAAGGAGTTTTGAAGAGAGCGTAGAAAAGTAGAAGTAAAAGATAGAAAGCTAGGTGAGTATGGTGGATATGGCAACACAACCCATCCAAGCTCCAATAGTTTTTGGCAGTTGAGCAAACTTGTGTGTTGTCTCGTGTTGTCATGAGGGAACACAACTCCTATACAATTAACGATCTCTGGATGTTTCTGGATGATGGCTTCATTCAAACTGACCAGTTGTCAACAGAACAGATTCAAAATGATTGTTTGGTTCCTTGGTTGGAGCTCAAAAATCATGACACCTTTAAAATCCCACCACACTGGGCACTCCCTGGTGGTGCAGCGGGTTTTAAAGCACAGCATTAAGAAGCTAAAGCCACTTCAGCATGAGTTCGATCCCCACTTGCCCTGGAGGTGACCACATAGTGTGGCAAACCTCTCCTGACCCGCCCGCTGCTCCCCTCAGCAGTGTACTTTATCGGTCAGCCTGTTCTGCTCCCCACTCTGTCTCTGGTGAGTCCTCTCACTGCACCTGAGCCTCTGGCCTGTACCCCAGTTCTGTACGCATAAGTAAATAAATCTTAAAAAAAAAAATCCCACCACACTGAGAGCATAACCTTCCTCTGATGAATGTCTGCTTTCAATGTGGTTTGAAGTGAATCATCATGTCAGGACCAAGACAGTTTGTTCATCACACTGTTGTAAAACTGTCCCCCTCTCGTCACTAGTATCAATCACTTCAAAAAAGCTTCATTTTACTCACATGAGGAACCCAAATACAGAGGTGGTCATGAGGGCTTGCATGATGTATGTTCAATGTTTCTGCAATCTCTCATGTTTTGTAACATGGGTTTGACGCAGTCAATGCCTTTATACTGTCATCATCAACCTCAGTGGGCCTCACTGACCAAGGAACATTGCTGAGATCAAAATCACTGGCATGAAATTTCATGAACATTGTTGACACTGATGCTCTTGTAGAGTACTGTAACAGTAAATTTTATGCAACATTTCAGAAGCTTGACACACATTTTTCCCTTTACAGAAGTAAAACACTAAAATATGGCCAAAATGCAGAGTTTGGTTTTCATTGTTTAACTTGAAAAAAAATTTCCAAAACTCAACTAAATACCTCAACTTTTTTAGAATGAAGCTTTAACTGTCAATGGTCAAATGACTAGCAATAACATAGGTGTGAGTGACTTTGACACTTCCCAAAATGAACTAGTGCCATCTTTTGCAAAAATGTGTCATGACTTTTCCAACAACCCTATATTTTATTTTCATAAATAATTTTTTAAAGATTTATTTTATTTATGTATGCAAACAAGAGCTAGGATATAAGCCAGAGGTTGGGGGTGAGGGGGGGAGGATGAGAGGATTCATCACAGACAGAGTGGGGAACAGAACAGGCAGATCTACTGAAATACACTGCTAAGGGGAGCAGCCTGCAAGACAGGAGAGGTCTTATGTGCCATGTGAGTCATCTCCCTGGCTGGGGATGGAACTTGTGCTGCAGACTGCTTCATAATGCTGAGACTTTGCCCCTTGAGCCACCAGGAGGACCGTTAATAAATAAATAAAAAATTTTCTTTTTTGATTGTCATTTTTTCCTAGATAATCATTATGCCAGACAAAAAGCAAGTGACAACAATTTCTTAGGTAATCCACAAGAAAACTATGAGCAGTTTTGTAAGGCACAGATTTGATACAGACAAATTGTGGGAGAAATAGACAGCAAAGGACAAAAAGGCTATAGTCACTGAATGCGTGAACTGCTTCCTAACCTTTGGCATCAAAAGGACCAAAAAATGCACTCAGAGTCATTTAAAACAGTCAGATAACCAAGTTTACATGTCTTACAATCGTGTATACATTTGTCTTCAGTAAGGAGCAAGGCAAAATAACATTGGAAAGGGAACTGACAGGAGAATTGCTAGTATATAATAATTAAGAGAATGGACTCTGGTATCAGTATGTAGGGGTTCAAACCCCAGCCCTTTTAATTCACTGTGTAACTTAAAGTTATTTCTCTATCATTCAATTTATCACTCTTTTAAAAAAGAGAAATAGTTGGAATCACAGTGTTAAGAATTAAATAAGACAACTCATTAAAAAAAATAACTGAATACAAAGCTAAGTTCTCAGCAAAAGATCACTTATGCATGCAAAAATGGAAATGATTTTTGTCCTTGCTTAAATCAGTATTATGTGTGTACGCCCTTTCATTTAACATGCTGCAAACTACAGGATTTATTGTTGATTTACAGGATTTAAAGTTGATTTTTAAACCCCACTATTTATATTTCTCTTTCCTATATGCGCACTGGTGCCCAAAACTGGTCTTAATATACCATGTGCACAAAAGTGCAATTATATTGTTAAAATCAATAGAAATATGCTGTGCATTAACAAAAAATGCATAATTGAAAAGTTCAAGTTTTAGAGTCAGAGAGATGCCCTATCAAATCCCACTTGTGTTGTCCAGTTACAGACCCTCATTATAATTGTTTTCTCTTTATTCAAATAGGAATGAGATGTAAATCTCACAAAATTGTGATGAGGATTACTAATTATAAAATACTCAGCACATGAAATATTCCACATACACATCACAGGTGTACACTCCCCCTCCACCCCACCCCCACACACTAATATTGTCACCTCTGTCCAACAGACCAGATATTTTGTCAGGTGACCTAGACTTTAATTAATGTTTCATTGATTTACTATGGCAATTCAACCCAAGGTACCATATCCTTGGTGTTCCTAGATTTTTTAAGGGTTAAGTCATGGGTTATTTTAAGGGAATTGAACTTCCATACATATTCTTTCTTTAAAACAATCTAAAAATGGCACCTCAGTCTGTTGAGGTTCTCCCTATGCGCTGGATAAACTTCAAAGAGTAATTCCACATTTTAACTTAGAAACACTAATTTTTACAATACAATTATATTCATTGTAATTATTTAAACTTACGAAGAAACAAAAATTAGATAACAGTAATTCTGTTAGGAGAGAGCATTATCTAGCAATCAAGAACCCTAAAATAACCCCGTTTAAGTCAACTCAAGTTCAGTAGTTTCAGACGTTAACACCATTCATTCAGGACTTTCTCTTTCTTTTCTCACGCTAGTTCACTGCTCCCCTGAGGTCCAGAAATGCCACCCCCGGGCAAGGCGCGCACCCGCTCCCTCCCGCCGCGGCCCCGCCCCCACCCTGCTCGCAATCTTGGCCTCCCGGTCCACTCCAGCGCATGCGCACCTCCCGCCTTTCCGCTGTGCTGCTGTGTCATGGCCGAGCGGAAGTCACGATCTCGCGGAGAGGCAGGGGGGAGGTTCTTAGGTGAGGGGCGCTTCTTCTAGGCCTCGCCCCCCTCCCCCAACACTACTGTCTCTCCCGCCTTTGGGGGGTCGTACCCTGCACTCTGCCGAACACCTCGTAGTCGACGGACTTGAGGGGCCCGGCGGTAGACATGGCGGCGGCGAGCCCTCTGCCGAGGAGCCGGAGCGGGGATCGGGGTGCGGCGGCCGCGAGCGGGAAGGGGTACATGGGGCCGCTGGGCGCACCCCGCGCTTGACAGCGGCCTGGGACGCGAGCGCGCAGGGGTCACGCGTCGGAACTGGCAAATGAGGCGGCGGGCAGCCACGACACCCGGAACGAGGCCGCGGGCCATGCTGACGCCGCCGTCCCTGCCCCTCTCCCGCGCGGAACCTGCGGCTGCTCGGGGAGCTCGCGCCCTCGGCGCTCCTTTCTCAACGTCGGGAATAAGTAAGCCCGTGCTGGGCCCACAGGGCACTGGTGTGGCACCCAAAGCGTTGCTACACAAATGAAAAGTTTGGGGTATTTGATCAGTCCGTTAATTCTTCTAACTTCTACTGTTATTTTTAAATTATTTTCATTAATTGGTTAGGCAATTGACAAGTCTATCTGGCAACTTTTTACCCCAGCTAATAACATGGTGTCTGCGTTGTCTTCATTGCTTTTATTGTGTCAGAAACGCTTTGGGACTACATATACTCTGAGTGGGCTGTGACATCTTCTGGGGCGAAAACCTATAAAAATCTAAATTTTTAGGCCAGTGGAACCAGGGGAAGAAGGCCCCTGGTTTTGGGGTTTCGTTTGTTTTTATAATCTTGTTCAACATCCCAGTTGCCCATGAGGTTGGATAATTTACAAAGAAAACATTTCTCTCCGTGATGAGCTATAAAGAAGTCTGATTATAAATCAATCGACCACCATTCCACAGAATCTGGATACAGCTGTTGAATTCCAAAGTGCTTTATGCTAAGTGAAATAAGACAAAAAGATTGATTTTACTGCTACTTGTCCCGCAGAAAACCTAAGAAAGGAATAGACAAAACTAAATCAAAACAAAATCTACAAGTCTCCCTGTAGAATTGTTACCAGAAAGGGGCAGTGGTGAGGAGGAAAAGGGAGGAGGCACAATGTCTATGGTCAGGAATTATGGGTGTCTAACTGGTGGACATAATGTGGTAACATCATCTTTAAGAGGTGTGAACATATTAGCACCAAATAATACAGTGGGAAACAATGGTACCTCAATAAAATGCATTTAAAAATAGAATTCCAAGTTCTTTCACTTCGCAACATATCTTGGGTTCAGTTCTTTACATACTTCCTTGCATCTGCTCATTGAGTTAAAAATAATTCTCTGCAGTGTGACTCAATATTATGTATCAATTCTATTAGAGGAAAATTAATCTATTAGGGGAAAACCGTCATCTAACCACATTAAACCTTGTAAGAATATAGTTAAATCATTTTAAAATATATTATGGAAGTGCTAATTCAGATAATTTTATGCAGTGAGGATCCTATTTTATTGCAGAAACCTCATAATTTATGCTTTCCTCTCTTCTGGTTCATTCCATACAGTGTCTAGAATCAGCTTTGAAGTTTTAAATTTCTAAAAGCATTCCAAATAAAACCAAAGGTCTTCAGTCACCTCTAACTTCTTTATGCCTGCTAATCCCCATCCTATAAATTGTAAATTACCTATAATGAAGACATTTTGTATTATTCTGCTCTCTAAACACACCCTGACTTCTTTTTTATTATTTAATTTGTTCTTGGAATCTATTTGGTCTGGAATACCTCCTTCTCCTAAATCTTCCCCTACAGTGTTGAGTGAACACATTTCATTCTAATTGGTTAGTGTCTCCTCTCAAGTAAGATCTCAAACTGGGTTGAGGGCCTGTCACTGACTATTATTGAACCTGTCAATGACTGTAAGGGTTGACATTTTCCTTTATCTTTGAGTTTTCTCCACATTTACCCTAGAGGACCTCTGCCAATTTTTATGTAACTTTATTGCAAAAGTGCTACAGCAGCAATTGACATTTGCTTAGCTAAAAAATTTACTGTATTCAAACAATATTAGTAAACAAATTTTTATGTATCATTCTAGCATGCATTGCCAGTAATATATGACTCTGAAACTGGAAATTTTAAGCACATGTTAGTAATCTTTAAGCTAACTTTAAGTGATGGAAATATATGTGCATAATAAGAAAAATGTTTGAAAAGGGAAAAAATATCCCAAATATAACAGCTTACTATTTTTGTATATTCTCATATATACGTTTTAAGTAATTAAACTCATAACATTATTTCAACTTTTTCCCATTTTATAGTCTTCCTAAAGAATATTTTAGAAATTCCATGATATTCTCTTAAGTAAATCTAACTATAAATTTACTAGCCAGTTTCCTATTGTCCCACACTAAGGTTACTTCTAATGTTTCACTACCAAAAATATTAGGAAGGGAATATTCATGCAAGAAAGTTCATTCACATATTTTCTAATTATTTAGAAGTTAGAATACCACATCAAAGAGTATAAGGGTGTATTGTTCTTGATACATAATGCCAAATTATTTTTCAAAGTGCTGGACCAATTAAATGTACCATTAGCAACACTGTATGAATATATATTTACTTGGCTTCTGATTCAAACAAGTATAAGCAGGTCATTCACATACTATACATGATAAAATAGATGAAATTTCTTTCTTCAGTTATAACCCAAGCAACAGCTTTAGAATAATTAAGTTTTGTGTTGCTGGTAGAATATAAAACCTAATCAAATCTTCCTCTTGAGCCTTTTTAAACAATGTGTTATGTATAAACATGTAAATTAATACAAAGAACAGGAAAACCCCGACTTTATAATATGGGTGTAAAAGTCACCAGACTCCAAAATCTGTGAAGTAGGAATAAATAACCAGTCTGTGTTCAAATGACATTGAACTGAGATGATGCCTACAAATCTTTTCATAACATAAAAGAACAGTTGAGAGCTATTCTGGACTGATTTCTTAGAAATCGGCTATTTAGGCATGTTTCAGGGAGAACTAAATTTCTTTATCTCTCAACATATTTATAATACTGAATTTTTTTTCGAGATAAC